CCGGCCCTATGTTCCTTGAAGTTGCAACATTTGAAAAGTTGAAAGAGTGACATTGTTTCTGTCTCTCGCTCTCTCTCTTTCTTAACTGTAGAATTTTTACAACCCCATCGACATTATTTAGATCACTAAAGAGGTGGACTTCTGACCATGCCTATCAGAGTCAATGCGGGTTTAGAGGGATCCAACATCCCAGTAGAAAGACAGAAGTATTCGATATAAATTTTTTCCCAACTTGGGAATCAAATTCGGTATCCGGCAAGCGAGAGCCAAGTGCCTAGCTGTTTTACCCCAGATGCCTGTTCTCTCACTCTCTCTCTCTCTTTCTCCTGACACTAGTGGTGTAATGGTAAGGTTCTTTACTATCGCACGCAAAAGACTTGAGTTAGGTTCCTGAATGTTGATTTGATCCACCAGGACAAAATTAGCCAATCTACAATCAAAATCGACAGTTATTGTTTTTCTGTGTTCCTTCAAACAATTCTACGGGCTTGTCAATCTTGTTTTTCCTGCATGTTCCTGACATTTTTGTTTTCTTTGGCATTGCTTCTCCCTAGCCATTTAACAAAACGTAATAAGCCCTTTAAGATCTTCAAACCACAGCAAAATAAAGGAATTGGGAATTTTCGTCACAAGTCTGCAAGGAGCAGCATAGGAGAGAAAAAAATAACTGATGACCAGACAGGATCAGTGAGAGAAGCTTTCAGCACGATATTGTCTGGTTCCAAGGTTATCAAGGTGGCACTCCAGAGACTGTACTCATCATGGCACAAGATTTTTTTCCCATTCCGAAGGGCACCAGTAATAATGGAGTCTAATAGCAATATCTGTCAAAAGAATCATCTTCCTCGGCCCCTGTTGGGCACCTGCACTAGCCCCACTGATAGTTCCACTTTCTAAACCCACTAAATCAGACAATTCACAGAGAAAGTAAACCTTTCTAAATCACTTTAGTTTTGAAAGAAAAAGGTTTTGCGGCCAATGAGGAAGCGTGATATTTTCTTTGTTCATTATATAGAACCAATTACAGTCGAGCCCGTTAGCCTCTTCAGCTGTTCTTTTCTCTCATTCAAGATGACATAAGCAGGTTCAAGTTTCGTTTTTATAGCCCAAAAAAATGCCCTTTCATGTTTATGATGTCATTATCATACTCAACCACCGTGCTGTTTGTAGCATTGAGTAGTATGTTGAGTGGGTCCTGAGTTATTTTCAATAAGTTTGAATCCTTCCTGGGAGTGTTTATCCTTCAGATAGATCTTGAATCGGGAATGGCCTTTGATATACACCATGGTTTCATCAATACAAAGTCCTGCTATGATTTTCACAGTTCTGGGAACTTTCTTCTGTAGTTTGGGGTAAATTAAAAGGCTTTATCTTTTGAATGTTATGATAAAGCTCTCCGTAGTGCACTAATGTTGTGTTGTTTGAAAAATGAAATGATAAGCGAAAACTATCAAGATCCCTTTTCTTTGCATGTAGACCTACATCATTATAGAGCAGACAGATGAGTGCAAACCTGGGCTTCAAGTTCAGTGGTCACAGAGAGTCAGTATCTTGACTATACCCACGTGAACAAAAAGTAGATAGCAAAGAGTCCTTCCATTTCTACACGGTTACCTGGTTTCCTGGCTTTGCAACATAAACAATTTCCAAGGTTTGATCTTTGCCATTGATCCCTTCTCCTTCTTATTATTTTGTTTCAGTTTCATAAGAGTTTATCTCCATATTGTAATTTCAACATCCCCCCCTCAGTCATATCGTTCTTCCTCTATTCATCACTGTCTAAGCATTCCACTCTCACATATATTCGACTCACTTCGAGTTGCTTCTTCAGCAATATCTAACGGTTATGCTTTATCATCAACCAGCATAGTAACTTCATCCCAATCGTTATGATTTTTTTTCGTTTCAACATCATCTTCACCATCCGATCTTTCTATGTATATAAAATCTATGACTTCTTTGAGAGTGAGTCTTCTCAGCATCAGTCTGAGCATCGCAACGTTCAGCATATCGAAAACGTCTCGGGAATGCTCTCGAAAGTGACCCCACAAATTTGCCTGTAAATCGAAAAGTGAAAAGTGTTCAAGAAACTCAACTTCTGACAGCAAGACACAATTCCAAAATGGTATCTGAATACTTTTTCAAAGTTTGAAAGTGAAAAACGAAAATGCAAGCTCTTTGTTGCATGCACAACTACCTGATGTCAGGGTGGTGCGTTGCGATGTGAAAGGCTATGAAATACCATGCGTCAAAGAGTAGCACTATGTCTCGAAGTGGTGTGAAAAACAGCACGCCAACGCGGTGTGCAGCGATGCAAAATGGTTAATGCAAATAAAAACGTGTACTTTTGGGTTATTAACGACAAGTTTCACAAATATTCCACTTAAACGCAAAATGGTATTTTCATCTCATCTGCAAAAATTAGCTTATGATCTGACGGAAACAGAATTCAAGAGCAAGAATAGGATTTTATGCAAATCCAATCAGGGCTCTTTTACAGGCAGAATAAAATAATAATTGTTTAATTAGAAAGCTCCAATTTGATCCTGGTAGTTAGCAGGTCGGGGGTTGGGGGAGAGGGGGATATTTTTTCTGCAAAATTCCTTAACTCTTTAAATCCCATCGGACGCCGGGACACTGGGAGCGTCCGGCGGTAATAACCCAGTTCCCTATCTAATGACAACTGTTTCCTTTCATTTAGTGCAAGTTTTTGCTTGTTTTTCGGAACTAATCCTGATTCAAGTTTTTTAGTAATCACTGAGCCTTTGTCACGGCGTCCGAAATTCCGTCTCAGCGATCTTTTAGTTAGTCCGGGCCCCCCGTGGTAGGCCATAAATAAGCGGCAGGTGACCTGCAATTTCACGCGTCAAGTCGGGGATTGACCGGGGTCAACCCGTGCATAGCGCTGTCCTATCTTGTCCTTATCAGAACGCGTTTCTTCCCCTAATTTCATGAGCCGTAAAATGATGCTCACTCTACCCCTAGAATCTATTTCTTCACCGATTTCGCTTCGTCTACTTCTTCTTGATATCTTGTGAAAGTTTCAACAGTTTTCATTGATTCATTTGGGAATAATAACAGTTTTAAATTGTGAGTGTTAAGTGATCGGAAGCGCCGTTAATAATGTGATCTCTTCAAATTTCATTCCAAATCATTCGAGAATGAAACGTTGGTCTTAATTTCTGTTTGCACGGTGTGATAGCCATCAAATCATATTTTCTAATGATGTGAATTTTGTTTCTCCAGCACTTTGCAGTGACTGGCAATCAGTTAGTGAATTGTGTTCCTAAGTAAAAATTGTTAAACTGCAATGGGTCACATATATGAGAGGCATAGAGAGTCTCTGAATGAACTTTGTTGGGTGTGTTGGCCTTTAAATTTAACTGTCAACCCAAAAAAGTACAGAAAGCCCCGATTATGTAAGACAATGCTAGGAGATATTCTCTTGGTTTATGGGACTGATGTGAGGGACGAAAATGAACAGTCGTATTCCGCTAACATTTGTGTCAAGTGTTTTACCGCGATTTCAACTATCAAAAGGAGATATGGTGTTACGTCATGTCAATTCATGCCGCAAAAAAGCAGTTGGCACTAGTAGGAACATGTGGTGTGCGTTTGACAATAGCATAAATGTGAATTTCTTCTCCGTTTTGTCGGCACCGCTTGGGTGGCTGCATACAAAGATCAATTTCAGGCAAACATCGCAAAACACCCCAAGCATACCTCCCTCCATCCCCATGTGTGCAAGGAACTAACAAACACAATTTGTACAGAAACAATAAAATACTCCCGCGAAACTGCAAAAATTGAGGAAGCAAGTGGACTGGAAGCAATATTCAATCCTCTCAATGAAAGATTTAGCCATGTTCACACTGCAATATCACATCTCAAACCAGTCAAACAATTTTCACTTCCAGAAATCTTGGTAGCAATCGACAATTACATGTCCGCATTCAAACGCTATTTCCCTGCAAAATTATCCCAAAGCCACACATATCATAGCAACACTGTATTCCACACATACAACAACACATGTTTGCTCTCGGGCTTTTAGGAAAACAGGACACAGAAAGCAGCCACCAAGCGATCTCAAAACTGGAAGCCAGAGCACACAGGATCCCAAACCAGATAGACATAATGCGTTTTATTTTTTGTGTCGCATCTCCTGCAAATAGCTCCCTCATTGCGTGCTGCTGGATATGTTTAGAAAGAAAAATTGTATAAATTTATACTTTTATTCTGTACATGTTCATTTTGTGAAAAGAAATCGGTGCTGTATATTGAAGATACGTCAGTATGTCATTATTCAGGAGGATACACAATCCATTGGATACAAAACGTCATGAATGCAGGGAAGCCTTTTGGCTATTATGCTCATGACAAGTTCCATGTTCGTGCTGGAAACAAAATTTTGAGTGAGTCAATTTCTAAACACATTTTCCTGTCTTACGTGGCAGTTTTGTAAATATTTATTGTTAGGCTTATAAGTTATTAGCCATTCAATATGTGTTTGTTGTTTTGACTAACTATAAATAGACATACATTTTAAGAGCATCTATCTCAAAAACGTGAGCAGCCATGGTATTGCCATTTCGTACCAATAAAGAGGTTTAGTTGCTTTCTCTAAAGAACAAACTTGTGTTCACGTATGATATTTTTTGTTTGTGTAAGACGATAAAACATGTGTTGAAAAATTCATTTCACCGACTACCGACGCAGGTAGCGGGAGGGCGGGTTAGTGACCTCTGTGTGACCGGGCCGCCGTGACCCGGTCACCCCATCGCCGATCCAACTAAAAGAGCACTGTTTGTAACCTGTGTTCTCGCAATTTAGAAGTTGGAGGCAAGCTTTTGGGGTTATAATGAGACAATAGTGCACCAGGTTTAGGTGACTGTAGAAAAAACTCTGGGAAACCGAGGAAAAAACTCAGGGTTTAAAGAGTTAATAGTGTCACAATGCAGAGTACCAGTAACTATTAAAAAAACCCTTTGCAAACTTACCTAATGCAACACATCTGGTCATCTGGTCAATACTTGCTTTGGACATGTTATAGGCCAAAACACCAGGAAACTGAAGACAAAAGAATACAGGCAATATTTTGTCAATTCCAAAAATTAATCTTAAAGTCAACAGAAGAGCACTATGTGAAAATGGACATGTAGCATTACGTTAAACTGAGTTTCATAATTTGATCTTAACAAACAATCCCAACACACCTTGTTTCCTCTGGGAAGCAAAACCTAGTGAAAATCTTGGACGAAAACTTTGTAAGCCCATACATTACTAATCAATTATCTTAAATTCCAAAATTGTGCCTGTTGAAGGACAGTGATCCTGCACCACGAAGGGATTAAAGTCTTAAACTTACCGACCGGAGTCCATTGACACTTGAAACATTGACAATGTTCCCTTTACTGGCCACGAGGTGAGGGGTGCATAACATTGTCAGATGGTACACAGACCTGTTCAGACACAAACACACTTTACTGTCTTTGTGAAATCATGAATTTCGGAGTTTTCATGAACAAGTAAATCAGAAAGTAAAAAGTTAACTGTCTAAGACGTATTTGGTCTATAAAAGTTCATATAATATGATATTCATAAACCTCAAAGAATAGTCATGCCTGATTTCATACAGCATATAGCCTATAATGTCATACAAAAAAACCCATAACAACACTGGATAACGAAGATCTCTCATTAGATGGGTCTACGTCATCTTGTAGCAGCAACCAAAGGAGTCTTGGGAATAAATCTTGCAACATGAAAGCAGGCATAATATGCGAGTTGCTGGATAGCAGAGATGGTAATAAGACAGACAACAACAAAGATGTGAACTAATTCTTACTCTGAAAACATCAATTTTTCAAATTACCTGAATGTAAACTTGTTGATAACCAGAAATAGAATTGCTCAGATTTCGAACCCCCCTCCAGCCCAACCACAAAAAATTCCTATAGGTTGTGTTTTTTTCCGGGGGGGGGGGGGGGGGGGGATGAAGTGTACTAAACCACCTGCAGAAGATATTTGATTGATGATGTCAACCTCCTCATTCACAATCACACCCCCTTTTCCCTATTTAATGAAACCAATTCTAAATAAACAAGCCTGTGATGCTTTGTAGTAACAGTATTATATTTCGGACCATAATATTTCGTGGCGCTCATATGACCTTATGCAGTTGCGAGCGCAGTGAAACCCTCTACCATAAAAAAATAAATATTTTGTAGTAATGATGTCGTGTGCCCTACATGGGAAACTACTCTCCTGTCCATGCTTGAGGAGAGTTCTTTTTTTAAAGGGAACTGCACTGGGCGTGCGGCAGCTAATCGACATGGCGAGTTGGTTCAGTGTCTTGTGTGTTATATTTAAAGTACTGTGGTCTATCATGTTTGATATTGACCATCCACACCTTTACAGCCTTTTTATATATTCTAATGTGTGTATCTAGATCAACTTGAGGAAAAGTAAACTGGGAACTTGAAATAACTAAAACTCGCATAGAGTGAAACGTTTAAGTATGTTACTGATAATTATGACCCAAAAAAAGAACTAAAAAAGGAGAAAATTTTGCTGTACTTTTGTCTTCAGCTTCAGCAGTGTACTGAAAATCGAACTGCATCGTTTGATCATGGTTTTCTTCCTCCATTAAAGCATTTCAAAACAGCAATGAGAAAGAAATACCAGAGACAACATTCTGATCCAAAAATTCACGGGCCTTAACCTGGCTCTGCATCAAATTATGGATAGGCTATTCTTTTGCTTATACGAAACTTCCTGTGCTCAATTTAAAAAAAAATCAACCCCATATTTTAGACCAGTACTCAAGACTCAGGAGTATTTATCTAAATGTTAAGAGAAAAGGCTACACCACCAATTCTCAAAGAGGAAATGTGCATTTCTGATAGATTCCTACCAAAAAGTTTGGGGCTCAACATAAAGACTTAAAAGTATGGGAAGGACAGGCGAGGCCGACAAGTTGTTGTGCCAAAAAAATAAAAAAATTTTCAATTACCTAACGCCCAGAAAAATGCCATTTTCTTAGATTTCATTGTTTTGACGAGCCCCTGATTTCACCACGCTGCCTCACATTATATGAAACTCCCCTTAGCCCACACTAATGAGTTAAGTTGGTCTCACCTGACATTGCACTGAAACATTTTGTCATACTGGTCCAAGCTGGTGTTCTCAATACTGCCTAGCTCGATTATACCTGCACTATTCACCTTGAGAATGAAAATAAACATATATGCAAAGAGTCTTTATCAACAGATGTATGAGGAGTATTCTAAGAATTAAGTGGCAGGATGGAATAAGATATGAAGAGCTGTGGGAAAGGACAGGACAAAAGGATATACAGTCGAACCTGCCCAGACGGCCACTTCTATAAGACGGCCACCTGTACAAACGGCCACTTTCCATTTCCCCCCTTGCGTTTTTTCTATATAATTCAACTGTGTAAAACGGGCACCTGTCCAACGCGGCCGCGGCCACAATAATTTAACACACAACCCCTATAATACTAAGCAATAATACCTGTCTAAGACGGTCACCTTAGTGACTCCATTACGTTTTGTCATAAATTGTGCATTGGCCCCTGGCGTTGTGGGCGAGCCGTCATAATTCAATCACCTGTCGCTGTTGTTAGGTAGTCCCTCCAACCGATCATGTTGCGTAGGCCCCCTCCCACTGTTGACCAATAGCTACCAATTTTCAGCTGCTGGTGAGGTAAGCGTGTGATCCCTCATAACCCATAAGCCCCGCCCAGAACTCATACACAAATCGTAAGTGAGATGAGTGGTTACTGTTTACCCAGTCTGTAACAAAGTAACAAAGGACGTCAACATGAACTTGTTACAGAAGCGTCCCTCGTTCTATGAGTGGTGGCGACCAATGTGTTTGTTTTAACATGGCACTCGGTCTTTCTTGTCTGATACATTTCGTTTTATTGTCACCATTGTGCAAATTCAGCGACAAAATAAAAATTACAAACGAAATACAAACCAACAGCAACAACACCAACAAAGACAACAACAATGGGGCTACTTTCGATTGGGGCCTCAGATGGGAATGGGTTGTTTCCTTTATCTTGATCAGTCCTGCCTAAAACTGCCACCTGTCTTATACGGCCACTTTTCTCCTTGACAATGGGTAGCCGTCTTACACAGGTTTGACTGTAGAAGTAGAAATAGGACTAAAAAAGTGGCGATGGATGGGACACACCTTAAGAAAGCCCAGCGGAAACATCACAAGACAGTCACTGCAGTGGAACCCACAAGGTAGGCCACAGGAAACATGGAGGAGATGCGTGGAAAGGGACATGAGAAAGAGGAGATGCGTGGAAAGGGACAAGAGAAAGATGAAGCTAACTTGGAACGAGCTTAGAAGGATGGCCCAGGACAGAGACAAATAGAAGGAGCTTGTATGTGGCCTATACCCTGCCAGGGGTGAAAGACATTGATGATGAAAGCGTCTTTATGGACTCAATACTTGAGAAGTAGATGGGAGACAATCAGAGAAATAAAAAAAGCAACACTAAAAACAAAGCTAATGATGTCAAAACTAAGATGGCCAATCATAGTGGAGGAGACAAATGGCCATCTTAGACAGTTGGTCATCCTATACTATATTGTCATATAATGTTAAAAATACACAGGGGAGGAAATGGGAAGTGGTCATTCGTACAAGTGATTGTCTTCTTATAAAGACAGAGGAACTGTAATTTTCTTCACACTTCATGCACCTACTCAAGAGTAGTCTGCTGTTGATTCTTTTGCTTTTCTTCTTTGATCCCATACTACACCTCAGACATATAGTCAATAGCAGATTTAAAAACTTTGATTCGCCTTTATTAAAAAAGAATGAGCTGCCTCACCTTTCACTACTTTCAGGTACTCACATGTTGCTTTAGAAGTGACAAACCAGCAGAGTTCCTTCTCTTTTTTTCATGAGCTAATATAGAATTTCATATGGACAGCATCTATCCTAACAAGCAATATCTCCTTCATTTTTAGAGAAGGAAATTTTCCATCGCTGTAAGTTTCGAACCCGGGATCTGTTGAATGAGAGGCGAAGATCATATCTATAGACCACGGGAGCCCCCTGTGTGTGTGTGTGTGTGTAAGTGTGCTTATGTATGTTATATGATTGTATGTACAGTGGAATTTGGATTCAACAAACTTGGATTCAACAAAAATTCAGATTCAATGAAAGAAGATGGATTAACTGGTTTTGTTTATTCATTAAATTTTGTTTTCTAAAATTAATTTTCGAAAAACACATAAATTAGCGAGCTTAGATTCAACAAAGTCGCTAGAAGGGTGAACAACCCCTGCTGACGGGGCTTCACTCATTTTTCTCAAGCAGTGAACTTTATCTGTTCCTGGAAACCATCCATGGCACCTGTACACTGTGAACCACTATTCACTTAGCCTATCGTTTATATCTTATGCCACCAACCAGTGGCCTCCCGTCACACCAACACATCCATTGTTGGCATTCGCACGTGTCTTAGGCCTAGCGGCCTAGCATGTGTCAGCGTGTCAGAGTCAGACAAGTGACCAGCACACATATGACTGGGTGTAACTGTGTCTGGGGGGGAGAGGGTACAACTGTCCAGGTGTGGACATCAGTGGAGATAAACACAAGTCACAGTCAGTTTTTTCTCCGGCTACTGGTCAGTATTGAAATAGCTTGATAAAGATCTCTGTAAAATGAATTGAGCGCTGGTCTGTAGAATCAAACGTTGCCGTAGGCTATGCTTCACACAGCAACACAACTTGTGCAACAAACAATACGTCATAGATAATAGATGACACAGGCGCGCATTTAAACGGATCGTCCCTTTTGCACAGAGTGCTTGGTGGAGTTCAGTATATTTTCCTAGAAAGCGCCAGTATTTCTTCGGCATGGCATCAGAGAAACGTAAATGCCTCTCATTTGAAACCAAACTACTTTTGATTTAGAAAATCGAATACATTATTATACATTACTTGGTCGGTACCTGTAATTATCAACACAAAAACCTCATGGTATGTGCATGTGTGAGAAAGACAGGGAGAGGGAAAGGGAGGGAGGGAAGGAGAGAGAGAGAGGGAGAGAGGGAGAGAGAGAGAGAGAGAGAGAGAGAGAGATACATAGACAGACAGACACTAGAGATGGGCAGGTACCGGTACCCAGTACCATAACTCTCGGTTCTGACTCCAGGAAGGAGCCGACACCAACGTTTTATTACCGGGCCACGGGAAGAAGGCATTGTGTAGGCCTAGGCCTAGCAGCTGTGATGTCAGATGTAAAACGCAGCGGGCAACTTCGATACATGACTTTGGATTCAAAATTGACAATAAAAAACAAAGTTTGCTTAAATTTAAATATGGCATCAAATCAGGTTCCATGAGAGCCACTTTGCTTGTTTTGATAGGCTGGTTCCGAAAATGAAATCAATTTTTAGTGGTGATAATTATTTTTAAAATTCTTCATGCAAAGTTTAACCTCGCGCGGCGGCAAACTTCAAAGGTACTTTGCGTCACATTTTGCCTCTTCAATTCTGACTTGTGCGTGTGTGTGTGCAGGGGTGGGGGGGGGGGGGGGGGTGGGGGGATGCGGGAAGGGGGATGCGGGCGGCCCTGATCGTGGCAAGACGTAAGACACACAGACTTGGCGGTGTGCCGAGAAAGTACTGACATTTGGTTTCGCCGGTACCGCCTAGCACTTAAAAGGACGACAGAAAAAACCAAAAAAAAAAAAACCCAAAAAAAAAAATCCAAAAAAAACCCAAAAAAAAAAAAAAAAAACCAAAAAAAAACCCCAATAAAAAAAAAAAAAAAAAAACCCAAAAAAAATCCCCAAAAAAACCAAAAAATCCCATAAAACCCCAAAAAAAAAATCCCTATTTTATATCTGTGTATATGTGTGGTAGGAAAAGGACCTCTTTATCGACTCCGAGTATTATATATATATATATATATATATGTGTGTGTGCCTGGTGAAAGGGACCACATGTCGCATTTTGAAAAATCCCGGTTTTTGGCATTTTCATGTACAGAATTCATTTCTGAACAATGTGCTTTTTAAATTTTGAAGATATCTTCAGTAGTTTTTGAGATATGGGCGATTTTGTAAGGCAGGGTACGGAAACAAAGTTTATAGAAAAACGGCTCTAAAGTTTCACCTTTGTTTCTGCAGAAAAAACAAAAACAGAACACCCTTTTTTCATAACAAGTCACCATTCTAGTAAAAAGTTTTTGCTGTTGCTGAAATATAATGTTGTTAAATCATGTTCATAATTATTATTGTTTTGTTTAAAAACTTGATACCCCCCTCCCTCCCCCTTCATCTCCTGCAACACACACAGGCAAAAAAAGTATCTTCACCACAGTAACTAGGGAACTTAACACTATCAATCATCAGGGTCAGAGGAAAACTTTTTGTTCCTTTCCCACTTAACAAGATTGCCACATATCCAGATCTTAGAACCCAGACTCTCCCAGGAATAAATGAAATTTTGTTCTGCATACATTTAGAATTAAGAAAACAAAAATGCACTACTATGAGTAAGCTAGATCTAAACTAGATCTAGATCTAGATCTAGGTTTATCAAGAAAGAACAGCGTAATGATAATTATTACTATTAATTATCATTATAATAAATAATTATTAGTTTAATCTAAATCTATTTCTATTATCACTGTTGTTTTTGTTGTTGTTAATCTTTACCTGCTTCGCTCGGTTCTGCTTCAAGTGCGAGGTCTGGAACTGGCGATGGCACCACAGATCGAACTCATCTTCTTCCTCTTCTCCCAAATCGACGTCAGAAACGAAATGATCGCATATTACATCTCTAATGTCTTCTTCAGTTGCCATTCTGACATTCCAATGCGTCTAAGAGAATTGAGAAGAAACACAATTTCCTGCTCACGAATAGCAGTACTAGATCTAGATCTAGATCTAGAACTAGATCTACTACTAACAGTACCGGTAGTAGTAACAGCTGGCAGCTCCGCTGTGTTGTTGTGCTTCGAGACGACCTGACAACACAGTCACTTCTCACAAACCAACTTTAAAAAGCAGCTCTACAATAAAAGAACAGCTTCAAAGTGTTTATATTACGTCTTCAAGACAAATTCACCACCACATTGAACAGGAATTTCAAGAAATACAGTTTGCACAGGGCAGAAATAGGCGATACAAGTTTGCTCTCCAAAGAAACAAAAGGGTATGGATGCGCAAAGTTTCGCTTTGTTTACATGTTCTAGATATTCATGCGCACTACCTGCCATTGGAGAGCAGAGAGAATGACCTAAATTTTAGTATGCAATGTGATTGGGTCGACTTTATGAATGGACAAGAGAAACCATCCGCAGTGTTTACCCTGAAAGCCAGTTTCCTCACGCATTTTTTGGGATTATGCAATATACCTCGGGTTAAAAAACACTTTTTAAAATGTATTTTAAAGTCAAAATAACTCAAATCCTTGTAAATGTCAATAAATAAATGGCTGAAGAATCCATTTTTAATGGAACTTAGTTTTTGTCAAAAATTCTATTTTTGACCTTTGAAGCCTGATATCTCGGTTTGAGAAAATGCGACATGTGGTCCCTTTCACCAGGCACACACACACATATATATATATATATATATAAATATAAACAGAGTCAGAAAGACAGACAGAGAGTTACACAAAATATAATGTCAAATGAATGTGTTACCAAGATGTTTAGTTGACCAAAATGTTTAATGGTCTCATCCACAACCCTCTGAACATCGTCTTCTTTTCCAAGGTCTCCAGTGATCAGGAGAGGCTGGGAGACACAAGATAGACATGAATTATTCTTTTGTCTTGAAACAGAACCACTGGAAGACATCTAAAAAATCTAAAGAATAATGAGAACCTTATATAGAAAAGCCCAAACAAAACAATTTTGTATAGTTCCAGAAAAACAACAACATTTGCGTCGGGTACAAAACAGGCAATGTACTAGACAGTGTGTGGGTAGTTAACAAAGAAAGCAAAGAGGCAGCAAGGCAAGAGATAGAAATGGATAAAAAGATAGCCCTGGAGACAGGACCTAAGCAAAGGAACCATCAGACAGAGTGCATGGATCTTCATGGTGTCTTGTTGTGTCCCATCCTCAAGGCCTCCGCTCTGTACTATAGAACAAAATTTGTCGTGCATAACTTTACTGCCTCAGGATGTGAAATGTTATGTCTGGCATGAGGGTAAAGGTTGACTAACTTTTGACGAATTTTCATCTTGCATTGTAGACTACATACAATTTCTTACCAAAACCTATGAGAGAATAATACTGTACAGTGATGGATGCCTTTACCAAAATAAAAACGTCACAGTCGCCAGTGTCCTGTGAGCTCTAACTCGTAAGTTCAACATCGCAACTGAGCAGAAATATAGAGGTCTCACAAAGGAGCACATGTCAAAAGGAGTTCGATAGTGTTCATTGCGTCATTGGGCGATCCCTAAAAAAAACTCTTTTATACACGTATGGTACCATCTGACTATGTTAATTAATGACTTCAGACTGGCGCATCAAAGCCCTCAGCCATAGAAGTCAATTACTTCGACTATACTTTCTTCAGAAAATATTCATCATTACAAGAATACTCGATCATTCGAGCAGGAAGAAAAGTCGGGGACGCAAAAGTGATTGACATACACCCTGCAACCACATGCCATCAAGCACCACTTACTACAAAGAACACTTATCACAAGTACAAAATACCAACATTTACAGTGGCTGAAATCAGTCATTCCGGCTGAGGTCCATGCTTTTTATGACACCTTAGAGCATTGATTTGTTAAAGTATTTTAAAATATATTTGACTGTGAGCACGAGTGTGTGTGTGTGTGATGAATACAAATGTGACTGTAAAGGAGCATTCCCGTCGTAAATAAGGAAGGCGGAATTAGACACTTATTTTTCAATGAATTATAACGCGCACAATGAACAATAACTATATTTCCAGTAGCACTCCAAAGCTAACAAGAAAATGTCATTTGGACACTTTTTATGAGTAGGAATATACTAAAAATTGTCAAGAGTGCAGTTTGACGATGTCTGTAACAAACTGTTAAAATAGTATCTACTAGAACCTTTCCAGTTTCTTGTCTGACAGTGTAACGTTTTAAGTTTTATACTTTACAGGTCTACAAACTAATCTAAGAAAGCTGTGATAAGCTGTAAGATGATTTGTCCTCTAGCAAACCACGTTTTTGACGTAATAAACTGCAGTGTGTGATAGCTTAGTACAATGTATCAGAGTAAAGAAGGGGTCGAACATTGTACCTAGCCAATTATCTCATTACAAAAACAGCTTTTCACAATATCATTTGTCTCAAACTCAACCAACCAATAATCCCTTTCCCTTCTTTCATTATCAGTTTCGTAGTGTACAGGTATTTTTTAAAGAAAATATAACAGTTTTTCCCCTTTCCTGAAAAATTTTGGTTTTAGGGCTTGTGACATTGTATTATGCGTACGACATTATATATTTTCACAAAAATTCAATATGAAGAGGAAAATTAAGCGGACAATAATACACACATCAGATCACATCAATCTTTCAACCACACGCAGGAATTTATCACAGACTTTTAGGGCTATATATATATAAATATATTCAAATTATATTTTGTAATTCAAAAAAATAAACAGCAATACATACTAATATTTATTTCGGAAGGACTTCCGTAATGAGCGACCACCCATCAAACACAATAGAAGAGGCCTATAGATCCCTAACCCTAACCCTAACCTTACCCCTACCCTACCCCAAGCCCTCAATTCTGCTCTGTCTCATAGTGGTCGCTCGTTACGGAAGTCCTCCTTTTATTTCAATAGCAGCCTTTTTCCAGATGGTAAGACACTTCTTTTGTATCTTCCTTTCTGTGTTCTTAATTAGTGGTACATATCTACTGCTGCCTGATCGTACAATTTGTATGGAGAGGGGGGGTGCTGGGTCGTTTATAAGGCTGTATATCTTTATTATACTTGTGATCTTAATTATTTCATCAGCAGGACGCTTTCAATCATGGAATGGTAAAAACTGAACATAATCTTTTTTTCAACATGAAAACAAAACGAACCAAAGAAAGCAATATCATCTACTATCACACAGTAGGAAATGTCCTAAACAGTGACAGAAAAAATTGAGTCTTTTCCACTCACTTTCACCTCTGAGTTTTTTGCACATTCTTCTCCAGTTTTAGCTAGATTGCCCTCTTTTCGACCAGTCAGGGCCAGGGATGCACCAAGTTTGGAGAATAGGACAGCAGTCGCAGCGCCTATACCAGAACTTGCACCTGAAGGAAGCGAAGTAGACAATATTAGCAAAAATGATACACAAAATGGAATAGTAATACCACATTCAAAAAAGCAGAGGAAAATTTCTAAGACAGTCTTAAAGCCTTAAGTGTGCGTTTAAAATGCTACGTGTATTACAATTGTTTTTCTAAACAGAAGAATATCTTAAGGCTAGCTTCGATTAATACATCATATAGGCCTACTAATTTGAACTGGTGTGCATTCACATCAAATAGTCAGCATACCATTAAAACAAGGATTTTTTGGGGTTAAAAATGGAAAACTGGCAGCTGTCTAGAAGCAAATGACAAGCTACAGTGGAACTCGGCTTCAACGAAGTTGTCAGGACTGACCTTCCATTTCGTTGAATCCTAGTTAAGTTTAAGTGTTCCTTAATGAGCAAATATACATGAGTTTTTTTCTCCCCAGACACACTTCACACATGTGCTGGCCGCCTATACAATTGTGCTAAAAATGCTTGTGTTGGTATGAAAGAAGGCTGCTGATTGGTCGCATGAGATATACAATAGGCTTTAAAGCGAAAAATGGTTCACGATGCAGTTGCTACGGATGGTTTCCAGGAAAAGATAAGATTCATTGCGGGAGGAAAATGAGCTAAGCAAAGTCAGCGAGGGCTGTTTACCCTGCAAGAGGCTTTGTTGAATCTGGGCTTGCTCATTTATGTGTTCCTTGAATCCGAGTCATTTTAATTGATTTTTATGAACAAAAAACCCCCCAGGGAATCTAACTCCTTTAGTTGAATCCAAGGTTTCACTTAATCCAAGGTTTCGTTGAATCTGATCTCCACTGTACCGATTTACTACAGTTCATGGTATAAAATCAAAAGAACCAGTACTAGTGGCTGTCATGAAGCAGTTGCTTGTACTCATAGAGTTACTTCCTTTTAAACTAGAGTCCGTACGAGGTTACGTGACACGGACACATTTGAGTTTGTTGGCGGACATTTTTAATGTGGCTAAAAAGTTTGTTTACATGTGAGTGGGCGTGTCTCTGCTCTTAGTCTTACGTGTTTTATTTGATTCTAACGTTATGTTTTGATTCAAAGCGATTCTCTTAAAGGTGCAAGCATGTGAAACCTCTTGTCCCTTTCTGAATTAACGTCTTACTGGTTCTGTCAGGCAGTTCAGTGATGTCTGTTTTCTTTTATTACATCATCTATTTTTAGTGCATAATATATCTTATAGACACAAATAGTCACTCCGGGTTTCTTTTTTAAAACATAAAGAGCCATCAGTAAGGTTCTGGGCCATGTGAAGTTAAGGTTGACAAGCAGCTAGATCTTTTTCACAATGGGCAGGAAATTTCTTTATTAAACTGAAACAGTGTACTTTTTATTGTTTTGTTTTATTGAATGTTGTCCAAAAACACCTTAGTAAAGGTTTTTGTTTCAGTTATCACTACACTGAGCAGAAAAACAATTGACTAGGCTACAAAACAACGTTTAAGTTCATTTTTTTATCTTTAGTGAGTCCAGAGTTGTCACAGTTGCTTTACTAATGTCCAAAATTAGACTTACATAAAACAGCAATAGGAGGAGCTTTAGTTTAAGTGCTGTATATGACCTACTTTAGTTCTTAAAATCAATATAAACCAAAGTTTAATACCGACATAAGAAAACACTACTTATAATTTAGTATACTTTTTAAAAAAGTGAACATATGAATGAAAAATACAGTTTCCTGTTCAAATGTCACATGGGAAAGTTTAACTCGATTTTTAAAATACCAGTATGTATAATTTATCATTTGTTTGGCTGAATTTGCTTTATCAAGAGCTTCATTGCATTCCTACACCTAAAGGCTGAAAAACTCTGGAATTTTTCTTTCCTATGGCTCATCCTCATTTAATTTAACGAAGTGACTATTTCTCCGAACGTTCGGAGAAATAGTGCCGATCTTTATTTCTCCGAACGGTTTCCGGCTTCCGCTCTGGTCGTGATTGTTTGCCTATTTGCGAGAGTTCGGCGCCAACTTTCATTCCGTCATTCTGCGAGGTCTGGGAAGGAGCAAATCAAAGGTGGTATCTGTTCTCAGCTTCTCCTCCGGCCGTGTGCCCACTGGTTTAGCGAGGCGGGTACTGCCTGAGGCACCCGAGAGACGGAGAAATCTGACCCTCTTTTCTATTGAGTGGACGGTTATCGTCCATTAAAAAAAAAAACGGAGCAAATTTTTGGGTTTAGATCTATTTCAATTTTCAAGAGCTAGATCTAGTCTAGAGATTTTTAGATGAGTGTAAAAACGTGAAAAAGAAAGGTTTCACAACAGAATGAAATCAAAACTAAAACAGCCCAGAAACAACCACAACAATTAACAAATAAGGGCGTGTGTCCACCTGTCCGAAGAAGATTGACCGTTTTAACCCTAAATGTGCGTAATTTGTTTTAAAAAAGTACAGGATATTGCATGGAAATTATGGAACCACACACAGGGGGCCTGCCAGTGTCAGTACATGTACTTGGTTTTGGTGGAACGCTCTAACATAGCACATTTAAATCTATACAGGTATATATATTTAGAATCTAATGAAGGTAGGAACATCAAATTAAATGACGTTACACAATATCTTTTGTAGGAACATCAAATTAAATGACGTTACACTATACAACCCCCCCCCCCCCCCCTTTTCCCCAACAAAAAAAAATTAATAGAAAAACAACACATCAGAACAATAACAAGAAAAAAAAAATACACACCAACAAAATATAACACCACAAAGAGGGAAAAATGAACGAAAAATAAAAGAGGAACAGCAATACAAATCGTATGTAACTGTAACGTATTCAACAAATCAACGTGGTGACAACAAGTGAGAAAGAGACGAAGTGAAGCTAAGTGAACTTTCTTTCAAAAGTAAAGAGTTTCATTTTCTTTTCTTTTTTTTTGACTTTTTCGGGGACCAAAAAATCGAGCCACGATTGATTGGTCGCGGCCTCGACAAACGCAGATGCTAGCTCTATGTGTCGTTATCAATAACCCTCCATAGATCTAGATCTAGACAGCTCACGAGTGAACGCAACACATTAAGTTTAAGAGCAGCACCCTTCATAGGCCACACGTCATATCTGTAGCGAAAAACTGTTTGGAACTGTAGCATTTCTTTATATAAATACGGACATTTTTTGGACCGATTGAACCATATTGTATACGAACAATCTTTGGTAGGCCTATAATATAATTATAGATCTATATTTTATTTTTATTATCCGAAATATGCGGGAAAGGGTGTGATTTCAGAGTGTTCGGAGAAATAGTGCCCAGCTTTATTTTCCCGAGCGTTCGGAGAAATAGTGCCGGCCTTAATTTAATGGCAAACTCATAATAATAATAATAATAGATAGCATTTGTATAGCGCATATCCCCGCTGAACAGCAGGCTCTATGCGCTTTACACTATATTATTACCCCAGCAGACCATAGAACACTCTGAAACATTCTCAGCTTCCCGGGAAGCATATGTACAGTGCGAGCAGCCGATTAAGCGCTCAAACACTAACAAACTGACAAGATCTTTCGCTGTCTATAGCCCGGTACCCATTCCCACCTGGGTGAAGTGAGGAAAATTTGTGTAAAGTGCCTTTCCCAAGGACACAACGTCGGGCCCCTGACGGGATTCGAACCCACGACCTTACGGTTGCGAGTCTGAGAGCCTAACCACTAGGCCACCGACGCCACGTATATCATATATCTGAGGGGGGCCGGGGGTGTTGGTATTGGGATTCGGGAGGAGAGAGAGGGTGGGGTGGTTATAGGAGGTTCCCATGACACCCACATCTTTTCATACTTCTTTTTAAAAGTTCTATAGGCCCTATACGCTTTGATTCGGTCAATAAGAAATAAACCATCTCGTAGATTAAGTGCTGATGAACAAATAAAGGTTGGGGTTTTTTTCTTCTTTTTTTAAAGCCCATGCCATATCTCTATCCCTATCTATTATTAAATAATACATTTATTTGTAGATCTAGTTGTAGAAAGAACGCCGTATTATTGCAATTTAGTAATTTAGATATAGAGTCTAGTACGCCACGGCGCCCATGTAAAAAAAATCAACAAGAACCAAGCCTCGCCTATCGCGTATGAGAGAGACAGAGAAAACATGCCTAGCCCATTGCTTTAGTTTAGTTAGCATGAACTCCTTCACACAACTTGCCACAAAAAACATGGCGGACGCCGCTGTCAAATGTGGCTATCGCGCAGCAAGGCGAGAGAGGGGCGTACGGTATCTAGTACTATAGTGTACATCTATGCTTGTACTTCAACTTAAACACAGCGCACCAGCAGTGCAATTTTAGTTGCTGCGGCAGGATCTCTCCTGAGCACCTTATCATGTTGGGATCACAGGGGTCAGCTCTCTGTCGCCGCTCTGCCCTAAATGTCGACCACGGCCTGGCCGGCCAGCCAGCCACTGCCCTGCCCACTGCCACACAGGCACAGGCAGATCGGGTCGACTCTTGTCTATGGTCAAGAGTCAAGACCAAAACAAACTCTCCTCTAAGCATGGGCGAAGTCAAGTCGAGATTCGGAATTCGGCGAATTCGTGGGGTCTGAGTCGGAGATCGAACATTGGGCAGGAGGACGAGTCCGAACACGAATTCCCGAACTAGGGCAGCCAAGGGGAAAATAGATCACGAGGAGCGAAAACATATTTAATTTGTTAAAAACTGTGAATAATTTTACGCAAAACTGCACCCAAGAAACATTTTTGAACGCTCAAAAGTTAGATTTGAATGAATAAAAATGCATAAGTTTGAAAAGTATCATAAAACACGATGTCTTATTTCTATTTTCCCCTCGCTGTGTTCAGAAGGAAGCAGCGAGTTCGAATTGGACCGTCCCACGATTCCATCGACTCAATGAAAGTCACATGAGCTTTTAGAACGCGCTGATTCGCTAGCAGTTACAAATCCCTTCTGCTGGTGGTTATGCCCTAAGAGGCCAAGGTCAAATTTACGCACTACGGTGACGGACGAGCATTGCGTCTCTGATTGCACCAATCACAATTGAAAGCCATCTTCACGTCAAATTCAAATCCCGTGATTATCCCAGCCTCCTTCTTTCTTTGGCTTTCACTACGATCACACACACATTTCACTACTTTTCTTCTCTTCATTGTACTATCTACATGTATTTTCTTACGACCTGTCTGGCACTTACATTTACATTGTCACATTTCTCGTCTCTTTTGCATTACTCCATGTTTGTTTTCAACCTTGTATGTTTATCTTGTCATAATAAATGTTGATTATGATATAAATCTAGATCTAGATCTATTACTGTTATTTTTTATAGACTTCTGTCTTGCTGACTGTTGCTTTGATTTGCATGGTCTGACTTTAGAGTTCGAGACTGCGGGATTTTATGCTTTGATTTTTATTATGACCTGTTTGCATCCATTATCCTCGCACATGAATGCGGCTGTACTGTCAACGAGGGGCAAATAACTTTCAAAACAAACTGGTGCCCTCCCCTGATGTCAATGAAAACATTGCCTGCCTCAATCCCGACCTCTGTGACCTCTTCCCTGCTCCTTCCCCCTCCCCCCTCCCCGCCCCCTTTGTCTACACTGGTCCGTGGAGTCGGGATTCTCTACAGCGTGTTCGACTCGACGGATGTAGGGAGAACGACTTGACTTGACACGAATCCCACCGAATTGACCTTGCCTCTCCTCAAATTTGATTGGCTGCTATCTTGACCTGAATTCGAATTCGGAGTCGAAGTCGACGAATTCGCGCCCAAAAATGTTCGGAGTCGAAAGTTCGGAAGTTCTCGGAGTCGGCCCACCCTTACTCTCCTCCTGATGATAAACAAGCCAATGAGGGGGAACTACTACGATAAAATTATGAGGTAAAACCGGAACTTGAAGTATACCTATTAATAGCTCATTTGCGAAAACGAGACGATTTCCTGTTCTGGTTGGTCGGCCATTTATTGTATTATCTTATCTTCCAAGAAAGTCCAGGCGATTTTTCAACACCCCAAGAACTTTCGCTGCAACGCATACACTATCTATTAGAAGGGGTAAGTATTACATATAATTATATACCATACAACCTGTAATGAGAGCAACTTTGCCGGACAGACTTCGAGTTAACCCTGCTGCAGCCATTTTGGTACGTGCGGATCACAAGACGAGAAGATGGAAAAGGAAATGTTTGAAAATGTTCACTGGTGATTTAATTGAAACAATCTGGAATGTTCATATAATCTGAGGACGCGTACCATTTGACCCAAAAATACCACGGTGCGTGTATAATGTGATTACAGTCTTCTTATTGTCTGTACGCGACTTGACGGATATCTAGATCTAGAGAATTAGACTCTAGAATCTGTTATGGAATGTTTAGAATCTAAATCTAGATTCTAGGACTTCAGACTCAGATTTAGGGGTGTGCTACATTTCAGTTTTGAACTTAGGACTTAGGAAGATTAGATTAGAATTCTAGAGATCTGAGTCTGAATCAGGCCTAGAAATCTAAGTATAGAATCTAGATCTAGTCTTCTATATAGGCCTAGAGGCTAGATCTAATCTAGATCTTTCTCTTGGTGAATCAAGGCTAGACATTAGCATTAGATCAAGTCATCATGGCTTATAAATCATGAGTAAATTTGTCACTGGGCATCGCTCATTGCTTGGTCAAGGCCTGCCTAGTCATTATGACATTGTTGATAGCTCTGTACTGTGGTCATGTTTTAAAATGCGAAGTGTATACAGACCCGGTAACCGGGAACAAAGTCACGAAGTATACAGACCCGGTAAGGGAACTCTTTTGTGATTCCGGAGAGTTTCTGCGCCCAGATCCGGTAGTGTGTGTGTGTGTTTGTGAGAGAGAGAGAGAGCAGGGGGAAGTGCTAGCAAAATGTATGAGGAGCCCCAGTTGGCAGGACGGAACGAGAGAAAAATATAGTGGGAAATATGTGGGGAGAAAGAAAGACAGACAAACAAAGAAAAAGAGAATGCGAGCGACAGAAAGAGAGAGAGAGAGAGAAATAGAGAGGATGAATGCTCGAGAGAAATTATGACATTGTTCTTCTCTTCAAATTGTGATTCCTCCAACTCCAAAACGGAGGAAAAACGATCGTTCATCGGAAAGATATCCGCAATCTTCATTTAGATCTAGATCTAGGCTAGTCTCGAAACTAGACCAATAATTTATATCTGTCTGTCTAGATCTAGCCTAGGCCATAGATACAGAAGAACCTAGATCTAGGTCTACCCTGAGCCAAGAGGGCGCTGAAACTTTCCGAAATCACAAAAGAGTTCCCCTACCGGGTCTGTATACACTTTGTGACTTTGTTCCCGGTTACCGGGTCTGTATACACTCCCTTTAAAATGATGCCTCCTAGCTTGTCTAGAGTCTTGAACTCTGGCATGTTTACCCTGTCATATTCCAACTTCAGTTTGTTATTAGGCAGGCACTATTTCTCCGAACTTTCGGGAAAATAAAGCTGGGCACTATTTCTCCGAACGTTCAGGAAAATAAAGCTGGGCACTATTTCTCCGAACACTCTGAAATTACATCCTTTCCCGCAAATTTCGGATATTATATAGATCTAGATCTAGATCTAGATCTAGATCTAGATCTATAATTATAGTATAGGCATAGGCCTACCAAAGATTGTTCGCATACAATATGGTTCAATCGGTCCCAAAAATGTCCTCAGTAAATATTTAGGCTGTCGTTATTCGGACTCGAGTCCGAATAACATTTTTTCATATTCGGACTCGAGTCCAAATTTTTAAAATTTCTTATTCGGACTCGAGTCCGAACATGAAAAAATGTTATATATTCGGACTCGGGTCCGGAAAAGGCCGGCACTATTTCTCCGAACGTTCGGAAAAATAAAGCTGGGCACTATTTCTCCGAACACTCTGAAATCACATCCTTTCCGCAAATTTCCGATATTATATAGATCTATAAATAGTATAGGCCTACCAAAGATTGTTCGTATGTATACAATATGGTTCAATCGGTCCAAAAAATGTCCGCAGTAAATATTTATAAAGAAACGCTACAGTTCCAAACAGTTTTTCGCTACAGATATGACGTGTTGCCTCTATGAAGGGTGCTGCTCTTAAACTTAATGTGTTGTGTTCACTCGTGTGCTGTCTAGTCTAGATCTACACGGAGGGTTATTGATAACGACACATAGAACTAGCATCGATATCTGCGTTTGTCGCGGCCGTGACCAATCAATCGTGGCTCAATTTTTTGGCATTTTTTGGTCCCCAAATCGGAGAAAAAATGTCAAAGAAAAAATGAAAGAAACCGAACCTCTTTACTTTTGAAAGAAGGCAATGACTACTTTTGTTTTTCTGTTTCTCCCGTTGCTTCCTTTGTTATGGGGAAGCGGGTAAGGGGAAGTCACTCAAGAAAACAATTGTATCCGGGCACTTTCGATGACCCGTTCAAAACCAAAGTCTCTAAAATTCAGACTTCCGGCACGTCGCAAGTTGACGACAATCACGGCGAATGTTAAACAGCCGACCGAAATCGTAGATCTAGGAACCCGATGTTCCTTTCGCGCATCGCGGCTTTTGAAGTATTGAATAAACAACGAAAAGCAAAAAGATTTTACCAGCTACAGTGATTCTACTGAAAAATAATGGTGTTTTCTGAAACACCTAGTCCGTGACGACACGACTGACGCACAAGTGATCCGAATTGTTCGTTTATTTGCAAACAAATAAGCCGATTTCTTGAGCAAGTTAACCTTTCTCGATGACAAATAGCATAGGATCAAAGCACAAGTAACAAAAAAACACCCAAAAATACTAAATTTTGGACATTCTTGGAAGTTTGCATTGGTGTGCTCAAAATGAGACCAGGGTTCACTAAAAAAAAAAAAAATTTTTGGCACAAAATTTACGAACTCAAGATTGTAAAGCTGACGTGGGGTCTGAAACTGCTAATGCAGGTTCTACATCCTATATTTGACATTGTGTATAAGTTTTAGAGGAATAAATACTAATGCATGGAATCACATTTTATGCACATTAATGTGAGATGTGTGTATTTTTCCCCACGTTTTGGCAATGGCTCTATAGGTTTTGGTTTGGCCACCTCAATTCTCACCCCGGGTGAGAATAGCGCAGGCGAGCCTTTTGGCTATTCTCACCCAGTGTGTATTCGCCGTTCACCCTGAACCACAGAATTCTACTCTTACAGAATTTAAGAATTCTGTGCCGTGAACGAACGTTCCAGCGTTCTTGTGCTACTACTCTTTTAGCCTAAAAGCGTGCAATTTTGTTTGTCAGCAGTGGAGAGAGAAAGAGGAGTAGCGCGAGAACTTCCGGGCAAAACAAAATGGCGACCCGCGTAGTTCGGCTCGATTTGAAAAGTTAAATAGCTGTAGCATCTTTGTAGACGACCAAATTAATTTACTTTTGTGTTTAGCATCATTTTTTAACTTTGTTTTGGTCAATTTGATCGTCCACACTGATAGACAGTATTCAGAGAGAGAGGGGAGGAGTAGATCTTGCGAGAATTTCCGGGCAAAACAAAATGGCGACCCGCTTAGTTTGGCTCGATTCGAAAAGTGAAATAGCCATAGCGTCTTTGTAGACAATCAAATTAGCAAACTTTTGTGCTATAACCAATGTCATTTTTTCTTTGCTTTTTTTCACTTTGATCATCCACACCGATAGACAGTGTATTCAGAAAGGCCACCTCTATTCTCACCCCGGGTGAGAATAGCGCAGGTGAGTCTTTCAGCTATTCTCACCTGGTGTGCGTTCACCGTTAGCCTAGATCTAGGCCAACCAATTTTGCGCTCACCCTGAAGTACAGAATTCTACACTGTGATAACAGAAAAATTGTAGAATTCTGTGCCGTGAACAAACGTTCCATTACTGCTGTGAGCCTAAAAGCGTACAATTTTATCTGTGGGCAGTGGAGAGAGAGAGGAGTAGCACGAGAACTTCCTGGCAAAACAAAATGGCGACCCGTGTAGTTTAGCTCGTTTCGAAGAGTTAAATAGCCGTAGCATCTTTGTAGACGACCAAATTAATTTACTTTTGTGTTTTAACATCATTATTTAACTTTGTTTTGGTCAATTTGATCGTCCACACCGAACAGTATTCAGAGAAAGAGAGAAGAGGGGAGGAGTAGATCTTGCGAGAACTTCCAGGCAAAACAAAATGGCGACCCGCGTAGTTCGGCTCTATTCGAAAAGTGAAATAGCCGTAGCATCTTTGTAGACGATCAAATTAGCTTACTTTTGTGCTATAACGTAATTTTTTCTTTGCTTTTATCCATTTGATCATCCACACCTATAGAAATTGCCGCCAGCGATCACGCGCTGTTCATCTGCATATGTCGGTCACCCAATAAAAACGAGATCACCATGGCGCGCAGAGAGAACGGCTTTCGTTGCATGGGTACTAAATTTCAGAACGATTGTCCGGACTGTTTATTTTTTGCAAATCAATGAAATTAAGATATGATAAAGAAAAAAGGTGGCTTAACTTACCTGTGTTTGAACGATTTCCGAACTCCCAAGCCGTTTTCGAAACATCGTAAGTTCCGGGGAAACCTTGACGCTTTACACACTTCTAGTGCTCCGATCGACTTCGTTCAAACGGCAAACGAAAGAGTAACCCTTTTTCTGATTGGTCACCGAATTTCATCGAGATCCCACGAGGGACAACGTGGGAAACTTCATTTAGAATAGGGAACCCCCGTCCGTTCGTGGTCCACGAAAATCGCGTCAGCAAGAGGAAATTATGTCTAGCTCTTCGTGGCCCGCTTTAGCATTGCTATAGAATGTATTCCGAAATTAGGAAAAACAGGTCTTGTTTCACTCCAGGTGAGAATAGCCAACAGTGACAAGTCTCACGCGGGGTGAGAGTTCGATCGTATTTTTATTCTCACCGCGGGTGAGGATAGTCACTTCCATTCCGAAATTAGGACCAGGGTTAATAAAGTTTTTAGTATAGAAAGACTTTAATAAGAAATAAGAGTTAAGATTCTGCCCTGAAATTTTCCTCTTCCAGGGCTCCCCTTTTCAGGCCATGAGATGTTTTAACATTTTCCTTTCCTGCATGAAGTTTCACTTCATTAAAGTTACCATCTATATAATGTCACGTTTTGACCGCTTTCATTTCTTTGTGTTTTCCACATAATTTTGTAATTTCACTACATTGAGCCGTTGG